GCTCTAATTTGTACCTTATTTAGGCACAAATTGAAAAAAAATTTAAAAATTATAAAAGAAATTTAAAAAGTGGTCTTTATTTCCAATCTCACGGCCCAACGTTTCGACGCCTTCGTCTTCCTCAGAGGCCTGAAAATGGTTCGAAGTGTCACCCATGACTCAACGCCCGAAAACTAGCTCGTTTGGAGGCGATCTTTGGTGGCGTTGAGTCATGGGTGACACTTCGAACCATTTTCAGGCCTCTGAGGAAGACGAAGGCGTCGAAACGTTGGGCCGTGAGATTGGAAATAAAGAACACTTATCAAACCTGTGTGGCACAGAAGTAATTTGAAGACACGAACATGCCCAGGTTTTATGAAAAAGAGGACTTGGAAGAAATTTAAAAAATTTAAAAAATTTGATTATGAAGATCTGTGCTCCTGTTTCACTGCATCAACAAAAAACGAAAGCAATAAGGTTTATCCCTTCATTTCCTGCACATCATCATCAACAATATCACTATCGCTAACGTCAGAGACAACAAGTTCGCTGCCTGAAAAATCTTCTTCTTCCTCCAAAAGGTCATCGGAGTAGAAGTAGAATTGCGTGCAAAAGCGTTCTGAGTCGAAAATAGATTTGAAACTTTCTTCTTGTTCTAAGCGCTTTTGTGATTTTTTTCCTGGCCCTTTGGTAGCACCAGGAAGTCAGCAGGTAGGTGACCAGTTTCTTCATACCATCTTTTATGATATTTCAAAAAGTCATACGGTAACAGCCTGTTTGGACCACTTATATACCAATCCTTTAAATGAAGTTTTTGGATAACAATGTGTTTAGTATATTTGCTTAGATGCTCTATCGCTGTACGACTTCTGCGTTGAGTTCTGATAATAGAGTAGATAGAAAATTTCTTTCTCCACCTCTGCCGTGCTAGTCGGAATGGCAACTAGCTTTGCTAGTAAGTCCATCAGATTTTTGCGGTAAGTAATGGGAAAAGAGCCAGATCGCATATGCTTTCGCAACACGGGAAGGAAACAGTGCATACTTTTTTGGGCCTTGTCGAACTCTGGCTTCACCTCCTCTGGCATACGTCCTGTTAGCTGATTAGAAAGCTGCTCAACTTCTTCTTTGACAGCATCTGCGGAATAGCCAAAAAAAGAGGTACTATGCTGCGCGTTGGTTTTTTTTTCAATATCATAGGTCATAATGTTACAAGGCGAATAACTTCCAAAAGCATAAAGGACAGAGTTGGATTCGCACTCCAGCCGGGATCTAAGTGCAGTAACTATGCTTTGTACTAACATCTTCCTTTTGTTCATATCCATGTTTGTGAATTCAGCAGCCTTGAATTCTTCAGCAACCTGAAGATCAGCAATGGACTTCCTGGACATTTCCTCATTGAAACTAGACAATCTGCTTGGATTCCTTATGCAGGAAATCAGAGAGTTTCGCTCAATTGTCAACTCTATATCAATACAACATTTTCGTCGGCTTAAGGCTCTCCTTCTGCCTCGCTGTTGAAATGGAACACATGCGAGTCATCTGCGATTTTGTAAAGTATTCTGCCTGCCGTTTCCTCTTCAAACTGCCAACCTTTCCAAAACATTGAGGGATATTTTAATAACATGTTATTCTTCTGAATGTCTTAGAGTTTTTGATTCATTGAACAACCATTCTCTACAAATTAGGTAAGGTGAGTCTAGAGCGTTTTCACGAAAGTGACCTTCTTCAGCACTAAGTTTACAGAGTATAGATTCCAGAAATGGGCAGGTTTTTGTGTGAAGGTGTGGAAATTCACTAATCTCCCATAGTTGTTTGAGTGTGTGCTAATAATGATGGCATAACTGTCAATCAAAAGCGCATTTTTTACCAAAAAAACATAAACATATAACAACGATAAGCACGCTCAAATAGACGCGTTCGCTCACGTTCCCGTTAATGCTGATAACGATGTCAATCCACAGCACATTTTTTACTATTAACTTGCTCAACCTCGCTCTTATTAGGTCGTCCAGAAAGTTTTTGCGCATGAATTTCAAAATTCACAACTTCTTATTTTTCCTGCCGATTTGAGTGCTTTCACTTTTATGTGAAAGGGTAAGTCATGCTCTTTATAATGACATCTCAGATGCTTACTAATGGTCATCTGTTGCATAGATAGGAGCGATAGAAGAAAAATGGTAAAAATTTTAATTTTCTGTGTAGGGACATAAGCAATCGGAGACCTGCAACAAAAATCGGAGCAGTCAGTACTGTAGGTTCTTTCACCGCTCTTTCTAATAGTGCAAAGTTTGTGCCGATTGAGCGTCTCCATGAAAAGTTATGATTTCCCTGAAAAATGCCAAAATAAATCAAATTCGCCTTTTTGTATTGCTTGCTCGGAAAACATAACTTTTCATGGAGACGCTCAATCGGAGCAAACTTTGCACTTTTAGAAAGAGCTAGTGAAAGAATCTACAATACCGACTGCTCCGATTTTTGTTGCAAGTTTCTGATTTTTTATGGCCCTACACAAAAATTCAAATTTTGAGTGATTTTGGTGTTGAGCTTCTATCTATGCAACAGATGACCATTACTAAGCAGCTGAGATGCCATCGTAAAGACCATGACTTACCCTTTCACATAAAAGTAAAAGCAGTCAAATCGGTTGGAAAAATCAGAAGTTATGAAATTTAAAAATCGTGCGCAAAAACTTTCGGGACGACCTATACAACGTGTTGGCTATTATGGGTCACCGAAGCAAATGATTTTTAGAGCCGGGAAGCAAAGAAGCCCTAACATGCTGTATACCGTTCGAAAGCTGAGATCATGGAGAATCGACGTAGACCGTCGACTTTTTTCTAGGTCTTCTGTGCCGCGAGATATAAGGGATTTTATGTGCTTCAAAAATTAACTGATTTTGTGTCCTCACTTTCTGCTCTCCAAATGAAGGCTACGAGAAAGTCGACGGTCTACTTTTGCTAACGAAGATTTGCTCTTTAACATAGATAGATAATCATCAGTGATTAGGTCTTCATTTGGCAGAAATCTGCTGTTGAAAATGACCATGTTTTGAGATAAAATGCGGTGTATCTCTCGGTAGAGGGGAGCTAGAAAGAAGTCGACGGTCTAGGTTGAATCCCCTTCTCCTGAGCTTTCGAATGGTATATAGGTTGCTGGGCGAAAAAACTAACCAGTTTTCAAAAATGGGGTGGAGACATTTACTATTAGCTTGCTCCAACCCAGCTCCACCAATGTATTGGCTTTTATCGGTTACCGGAGCAAATGATTTTTAGAGCCGGGAAGCAAAGAAGCCCTAACATGCTGTATACCATTCGAAAGCTGAGATCATGGAGAATCGACCTGGACCGTCGACTTTTTTCTAGGTCTTCTGTGCCGCGAGATATGAGGGATTTTATGTGCTTCAGAAATTCTGATTTTGTGTCCTCACTTTCTGCTCTCCAAAATGCTACGAGGATAAACAAATAATATAAATAAGCATAAGTACCGTTTCTTTTGTAAATTTATGAGTGTACTTGTTGTTTGAGGTACTTAGCTTGCAAAACCTTTTAATAACGATTTTTATCATATTTTCAGAGTACAATACCAATCTCAGCCCAGGTGAAGGGGTTATCGGGAGTTTAGCCTCAAAGTGAAGGGGGTAAGATCCACCACTCCCCCTATCGCAACTATGTCGCCAGGTATCCTCCCCTTGTAAGCTGAAACCGGCTCTACATTACTGCAGTTGAAAAATCGCGGGAGCTTCTCATACAAACAAGTTACCGAAGACAAATGTTTGACACATTTTTGGAGCAACCCGTGTATGTATTGTGTATCCTCCAAAATTATCCCCATATGTACTACCAAGTGGCTGCCTTTGGATGGTTCAAACATATCAAGTTCAAATATGCGCCTCAAATTTGCTGGAGTTAGTGTTAAAACGACTGGAAGGCAGCCACATTAATGGTACCTATAGGAGTAATTTTGGGGGATGCACCATATATCTCCTCATTTTTGTCATCTCTACAATCTTGCAATTTGAGCAGCTTTTGTGGGATCACGATATGATCTTTTGTTTTTGATCTAAAACAATATGAAGCCGCGCTTGTCAAGAGAATGGCGTAGCGTGATATATAAAAAAGCTGATATTCAGAAATCGGCATCTGAGGAGCGCAGCTCACACAGGTTGAAGGCAGAGTCCGGGCAGGTCCAACGATTTCAAGAAAAGCACAGATTCCTACAGCTCCCACCCCGATCAAGGTCTTGCCCAAGTGGCATCGCTCCGCTTCGCTTCTGAAGCGAGAAAACCGCCTCAGAAATGGCGACAGGGACACCGCTTTACGGCCGGCGGCGACATGCCCGCCCATCCAAGGATTTCACGTTAGATGTGCAGGTTGCCAATTCGCACTGTCATAACTGTGGACGGGTTGCAACCTCGTACTGTCATAACCGTGCCGCAACACTATTGCGGCGTCTTGCTTCTCTGGTTTCTGACCAGGGGCATGTGAGTGCTCGTCCGGAGGCCACTGGAAGGGGCTTCCGAAAACCTCGGATTTCTTCGTTTTCACGCGCTCCAAGGCTTATATTCGCATTCAGGACGACGAGTAGGGCAGAATAACGCAATAAACCGGAGGTCATCAATCTGACCGGACGCTGCCTTTAAGGTATGAGCAGGAGTTTGGATGTATTAGAGGTGTATGGGGCTCCTAAATTGCAGAGTCGTTTGCACCAGCGGTCGCGCGACCGCGTCGCGCCCGGGCATCAATGTCACCGCCTCGATCCATGGCGCAGGCGCCGGCAAAATGCACGGGCGCGACGCGGTCGCGCGACCGCTGGTGAACGACTTTGCAATTTAGGAGCCCTGTACTTTGTTAACCTAATGCTTGATATCTAGTGTCGGAAGTGCGAATAAAATAAGTTACGCTTATGAGGTAGACCCTCTCACAACAGAGTTCGTAGCCCAATCGCAACGCATGTTTGCTTTCTTACAAATGCTTTTTTCGGGCCATAAAAAGCGGAGCAGACAATGCGGACAATGCACAAACCTCGATGACGCGGAGTCCCTGTTCACGATATTGATGGATATTGTACCGAGCTGTAGCTGCGTCAACAAAACTCATCAGATGATGAGGTATACCTTGTGCCTCCTCTTTTGTAATTTTGTTCGTCGCAATTTCTAGACCTGTAACAAACATGTAGTAAACTTACAAATTCGTTGTGGCAGGAAAACAGGTCAATTTGACCTAACAGTAAAACACGCCTGAAAAAATGATGTCCCACAGATTAGGTCTCAGAGTTCACGCGATTTGATCGTCGCGATTCAATCGCTAAAAACAAGTGTCAGTTCACTGCATGCCGATCTTCTTGTATTTCGGTTGTGATAGTTAGTTCACGATTAGTCGTGTTGGAAACATTACAACCGAAATGCAAGGAGATCGGCATGCAATGAACTCGTAAACTTGTCTTTAGCGATTGAATCGCGACAATCAAATCGCGTGAACTCTGCCCGAGGCCTTAGACTTGCGAGAACTTGAAACTAGCTAGCCATGAGAGATTAAATGTATACCAAGAGAAGTTCTGAGAATGTATTCAGCAAGACTAATCGGGGTGGACGGTAAAATTGAAAATTTCCTCCGATCTTACAAGGGAACGATACTTAGTGTTTGTGGCCTTTTCGTTCCTCTGAAAGAAGTTACAAAAGATTTTCGCGCCAAATTTGGCCGCCCGAGATATGATAGGAACACCAATACCGATGGTAGCTGTGGTGTAGTGGCTAATGCGAAAGCCTCACAAGTTGATGCAGGTGTAGGCTCAGATCCTGTTGTATTTTTCAGTTCTGCATTGCCTCGATTAAGCTGTTTTTTGAGAGTTACGTTTCCTCGAGGTAAACGCATGTCCTCACTCTTTGAAAATTCGACGAGGAGTCATTTTTATATGAGTGTTTCCTAATTTATTCCAAGGCGTCTACAAAAATGAAAATGAACGGAAAATGAATGTATGTTAACATGTTACCATGTTGTTGTTCCTGTATTTGCGTCGCGCGACAAACTTGGCGTATTAGCAGAAACGGAAAATTAGATTCGGAATCAGCGTCTGCAGACAAAAGCCACGGACATTAAGTATCGTTCCTTTCCAAATATTGCTTGCTGTTCTTATTTATTATTGGACTTGAGGGCACATTGTTGTTTTCGTAATGATATAGCTCTATTTCTTCAATCCTAAGCCTACTTTCCTTTGCAGTGAACGCTCAAACCTTCCATACCACCAGTACTCTTCCTTGTAACACCATTCGATAAAAAAGAATGCTGAAAACTTAAAAGACTCATTATGAGGAGATGATGGCCATACCCATCATTGATATCTAGGATGAAACCCACAATCAGTGTCAATCTCGTGCCCCGTTTTCCGTAGCAACTACGCTTCTGCAGCGCGTGGGTATTGCGCAGCCATCTCCGATCGATCTTTGATTTGAAAGTTTAAGCGGTAGGCCCGCGAACGCGGCACGTGGCTCTAGCTTGCCCTCGAGCTGATCGAAAAAGGAGTACACCGCTGAATCAAAATCATAACTTATAATAACGGGCTAAGGGTTGTTTACGTTTGTGTGTGTGTATGTGTGTATGTGTGTATGTGTGTAAGTGTGTATGTGTGTATGTGTATATGTGTATATGTGTATGTGTGTATATGTGTAAGTGTGTATGTGTGTATGTGTATATGTGTGTATGTGTGTAAGTGTGTAAGTGTATATGTGTGTATGTGTGTATGTGTATATGTGTGTATGTGTATATGTGTGTATGTGTATATGTGTATATGTGTATATGTGTATATGTGTATATGTGTATATGTGTATACAGGGTGTCCCAAAAAATGTGAACACTGTTTGATTGTTAATAACTCCCTTGTTTTCATGTCCTTTGCCAAGCTTGAGGCATCATTCTATAGAGCGAGGTTCAACTTAGTTTTAGAGTATGGAGCGGATCATCGATCGTTCTTCGTTACTGTAGGATTACGGTATGAACTTCTAGCATGTGGATTTGTTGTGAAATATGCCATTCGACAAAATTTGTTCAAAAAATCTGAAAAATCGTGTACTAGGGTTTTCGTGCGCGCGATTCCATTAGACAACTTTTTACGAGTGTTTTTAGCTTTTTGACGTTGTAGTCACATTTCTGACAAACGCTAGGAATTCAGATATTACGGTTTGAACAAGATAACCATGGAAAGAAGTATCACAGTAGAATGGAAAATTCATATTCGAAATTGGCGTCTTCCATTCCCATAGTATAGAAGTTTTTGGGTTGTTTGGTTTTGTTCCGAGGCAGAATATGGCCTACAATGGCCTAAAATCCTTGTCGAAGTTCCTACCGTAATGCTACAGTAATGAAGAGCGGTCGACGATTCGCTCCATACTCTAAAACTAAGTTGAACCTCGCTCTATAGAATGGTGCCTCAAGCTTGGCGAAACACATGGAAACAAGGGAGTTATTAACAATCAAACAGTGTTCACATTTTTTTGAGACACCCTGTATGTGTATATGTGTATATCAGTGGCGTAACCAGGATTTCGGCTCGGGGGGGGGGGGGGGCGCGACAAAAAAAAATTTCGATGAAGGTGCGTGGCGTCAGCCACGCCCCCGAGAAAAATTTTTTTACAAGGCTAAACTGCATTTTTAAAAATTTTTTAAAAATTATTTTAATTACTTACAAGTATAAATAAGTCTTTTGCACATTTTTATAACTCATGTAAGTAACTTTCAAAAATTTCGCGACCCATTCTCGGGGGGGGGGGCGCCCCCCCCCCCCCCGACCCCCCCTCGGTACGCCACTGGTGTATATGTGTATATGTGTATATGTGTATATGTGTATATGTGTGTATATGTGTATATGTGTGTATATGTGTGTATATGTGTGTATATGTGTATATGTGTGTATATGCGTGTATAAGTGTGTATATGTGTATATGTGTGTATATGTGTGTATATGTGTATATGTATATGTGTATATGTGTATATGTGTATATGTGTATATGTGTATATGCGTATATATGTATATGTGTATATGTGTGTATATGTGTATATGTGTATATGTGAATATGTGTATAAGTGTATCTTATATATAAAGCTGAATGTCTGTTTGTCTGTCTGTCTGTCTGTCTGTCTGTCTGTATGTATGTATGTACGTATGTTCCGAATAGAAAATTCCATTTCTGAACCGATCCGGACCAAACTTGGCACACATACACTTCGGGCCTCGGCGGGTGTCATAGGCTACTTTTCGTCATCGATCGATATCGATTTTATCGATTTTTATCGATTTTTTTGCTGAGTTCACCTACGGGGCTGGGAGTTGGCACAGGGGGGTAATCGAGCATGGGGATTCCGAATACAATATTGGTTTTCAGGATTATCGATTACTTTTATCGATTTTATCGATTTTTTTGCAAAGTTTGAGCTACGGGGCTGGGAGTTCGCGCAGGGGGGGTAATCGAGCATGGGGATTCCGAATACAATATTGGTTTTCGGGATTATCGATTACTTTTATCGATTTTATCGATTTTTTGCAAAGTTTGAGCTAGGGGGCTGGGAGTTGGCACAGGGGGGTAATCGAGCATGCTGATCATCCCCAAGGGGGGTGATCAGCATTCTTGATTACACCCCTGTGCCAAATTCCAGCCCCCTAGCACAAATTTTCAAAAAAATCGATAAAATCGAAAAAGTAATGGACGATCCTGAAAACTAATATTGTGTTCGTAATCTGCATGCTCGATTACCCCCCTGTGCAAACTCCCAGCCCCGCAGGTCAAACTTTACAAAAAAAATCGATAAAATCGATAAAAGTAATGGAAGATCCTGAAAACTAATATTGTGTTCGTAATCAGCATGCTCGATTACCCCCCTGTGCAAACTCCCAGCCCCGCAGGTCAAACTTTACAAAAAAAATCGATAAAATCGATAAAAGTAATGGACGATCCTGAAAACTAATGTTGTATTCGGAATCCCCATGCTCACTTCCCCCCCTGTGCCAACTCCTAGCCCTGTAGGTGAACTCTGCAAAAAATCGATAAAAATCGGTAAAATCGACATCGATCGATAACGAAAAGTGGACTGTGACACTTGCCGGGGCCCGAAGTGTATGTGTGCCAAGTTTGGTCCGGATACGGCGGAGCCGGGTAAGCCAGCTAGTATGTGTATATGTGTATGTGTGTATATGTGTATGTGTGTATATGTGTATATGTGTATATGTGTGTATATGTGTATATGTGTATATGTGTGTATATGTGTATATGTGTATATGTGTATGTGTGTATGTGTGTATGTGTGTATGTGTGTAGGTGTGTATGTGTGTATGTGTGTATGTGTGTATGTGTGTATGTGTACACACATATACACACATACACACATACACATACACACATACACACACAAAGTCACGTACACACATACACACATACACACATACACACACACAAAGTCGCATACACACATACACACACACAAAGTCACGTACACACATACACACATACACACATACACACATACATACATACACACAAACACACATACACACATACACACATACACACATACACACATACACACATACACACATACACACATACACACATACACACATACACACATACACACATACGCACATACACACATACACACATACACACATACACACATACACACATACACAAATACACACATACACACATACACACATACACACACACAAAGTCACGTAAACACCCTTAGCCCGTTATTAAATGTTATGATTGACAGTGCAAGAACACGTGAGTAGAAGTAGTAAAAGGAGAGTCTTGCAATGATAAAAACAGTAGCATCAATGCATGAAAAACATCAGCGAAAGATCTTATATTAGGTTGCACCGAAAGTTTTGTCCGTTTTTCAAACCATTATGAAACCACGCACAATGAAGACCTGAAGGAGCTTTAACATGCATTCGGTGCAACTTTCCTTCTCTTTTTTACGATTACATTTCGAACCAAAATCCTGTATGCTTTTTCTGGTAATTTCTAAAATTTTTCACCCGTCTTTTTATCTTCTTAAAGTTCAGTTAAATTTCAAAAATTTCATTCCATGGTTTCGGAGAAGTTCATGTATGGCTCAAACAAAGCAATTACGGACTATATAGGCATTTTTTCAAAATTCTCTTCTT